CGACCAGGTGGTGACCACAGGAGAGTTATTATTATAGCCATTTCTAGCCTGTTAATTCGGCTTTGGTTGCTTTAGTTGTAATTTAATTAATATAATTATACCAAGGACTAGAAGCAAACTTTTGTAATAATTTCATATGAAATACTGTTTAAGCATTGTGATCAAATGTGTTATTCAGAAGTATTCATTAAAAAATTATTCAAAAATGATTTCTATTTCTAAATGACAGCTTAACATGCTACTTTTGCTTTTCAAACTCCAAACCAACAAGGCTACCAGAATCTGTATTAATTAGTAAGTAAAACTGGTGGCAATAAATAATTTGAAGTGATGAAAAAAATTAAAAACTGGCAAAATGATAAGCAATTTTTTTTTAATTTTCCAGAGTGAGCCTCGATTTTATTTATTTTTTTAATTGTTAACCTGCAATCATACGTTATAACAGAAATTTTCTGGACTACTAGTTTTTTCACAATAATTTTTTACTTGCTTAGCTGTATTTCCATGATATTCTCATGCTATATGCTATCCATTTGACTGTCTATAAATTCCATTGGAAAAAATTTTTCTACTTATTACACTTTATAAGACTTGCCACCTTACTCATGTTTTCATCTACAATTATTTTCTTCACATGATCACATGAAGAATTTTCCACTCTGACATCATTTTTCAATGCCATCAATCTAGGAAGCTTCTCAAAATAGCTGCAAAAGGAAGTCATAATGTCATGGATGTTTGTGAACTACGCATGATGTCATGACATGACAGTCTGCAAGTTGCTAAGACTTTGAACACTTACACCTAAAATGCTATAATGTTCAATAATTGAAATAAAGCTGCAAAAAATTTAATGTCTAAAAAATTTCAGGAAAACCATTTTCTAGTCCTTCTGAAAAACAATCAAGTCTTCCCATCATTCATTTCCAGCTGAACTAGTTCCACACTATCCACATTATCAAAAAGTTGGAGAGGCTTCCTACGGGAGAAGGGTTAATTAAAGACATTGTTCTGTAAATAAAATAATCTATACTAATATAGATTATTACAAAGCAAGAATGTTTGTTTTTTTTTTTTTTGCTAGAAATAATCTCAGAATCTATTGAACCAATTTTTAAAATTCTTTTGCTATTGGAAAGCTTATTCCTTCCAGATGAACATAGGCTATATACTATTTTCCACAGGCTATATACTATTTTTGTATTAAAAAAAAAATAGATGAGAATGATGTTTTTACTGCAGTATTTGTCTCACATCACTGTTTGTCTGTTTTGTTCAAGATCAATCCCCTTTGCCACCTGGTGGGCATTTTTTAAATTATTTTCTTATATTTTCAGTTTCAGTTTTAATTCATGCAGTTCAGGTAGTTGTGTACATGCTTTGTTTATATTGTCTTGGTCATTCATTTCTTATAATAATACTCTCTTGTGTTATCAGATACAATTATAGGAAGCAAATTTACTTCCCTTATGTGAAACTAAACTTTTGTAAGTAGGCCGATAGTATTTTTGTGTGTTCATTGTTTTAGAATTATTCCTACCATACCATAATTTAAAAATAAGAATTTTTCTTGTTATCAGATATCTATCTACATAAGTTGAGTTCTTTCAGTTACTTTTCAGGTGTGTACATGTGCAAATGAGCCTTATCGATGATAAAATGTCTAAAAGAAAGTCGCAATTATCATGAAAAACATCCATGTCAAGGGATCATTGGAAAGCTTATTTACTTTCTGATATACAGTACATGAGCTACCTTAAACTCAAAACCCTTACTCCTTTCCTGCTGATTTCATCTTCCCTACAAACTCCCAAATCCTTGGACCAATCTAGATCAAATTCTGCATAGTTACTCTCTGATACTCTATGGGAAACAAACAAACTTCCAAACTTTTTGTGCAATCTGGACAAATTTTGCATAGCAGTCTCTAGTCCTCCAGAAAATATCAGGTCAGTCCATAAGTTCTACAAAAAAAGCAACAAAAAATTTTAATTAAATTTTATTTCAATCTATAATGTATTCACCATTATTTTGTACAATTTCTTGCCATCTTGATGGTAGCTTTTTAATCCCGTCTTTGTAAAATGATTTCGGTTTTGAATCAAAATATTCAGAAATAGCCTTTTTTACATTGTTCTCATCCTCAAAAGTTTTTCCTTTTAAAAAATTCTGCAAACTCCGAAAAAGATGATAATCACTGGGAGCAATATCTGGCAAATATGGTGGATGAGGTAAAATTTCCCAGTTGAAGCTTTGGAGTTGAGCAGTTGACGTTGTTGTCAGTTAGCTATTGACAGTTCATGTGGTATCCATTTTCCTAGCTTTGAAACTTTTCCGACTTGTGGTAGATGTCTATGAACTGTTCCATGGGATGAATTTAAACGTTCCGCAATTTCATCAACTGTTAAAGATGGTTCTGCTTCAACTAGTGCAGAGAGAGCATCATCATCAAAGTCAACAGGTCTTCCAGTACGAGCCTTATCCTCCACACTAAAATCATTATTTCTAAATCTTTCAAACCACTTCTGCACAGTCCTTACACTAATTACAGTTTGATTATGAACAGTATTTAATTTTTTGGCTGCATTTGTAGCATTCTCATCACTTAAAAATAAAAAGTATAAAACACGTCTCTTATATTCATCTGTTACTTCCATTTTAACGAAAATAAACAACTGAAATGTTCCCAATTCTGAACAGTATTATATGAATGAGATCCAATTTAACACTTCAGTGTAAAAAGTATCACATTAGACTGGCATTTTTAACAGCAAAACAAGATCATAAAATACGCACGAACTTATGGACTGACCTAATATATAATTTACTTTAAAACTTGAACCCTCACTCCTTCTCCTGACTTCATCCCCAGAAATTGCCAAACCCTCTGACTGCTTTGCATCAAATTTTGCGTAGTTACTCTCTGCCATCCTGCAGGTAACATATGATACCCTATAATGATGACAACTCAACTCTCTCCCTGACTTCCTAGGCAATGCTGGACATTCTTTGCTAGTATCACAAACTAAACAATGTATAATATTGAAATTTGGCATGTGACAAGAAGATACATTGCAAAATTTTACAGAAACATCAAATTCAAGGAATAGGAATTATGTTAGCATAATTATTTATGAAAAAGCAGCAGAAAATTGCTTCTATGTGTGTACAGTCATGTTAAACAGAAATGCATGTCATCTTGGGTTAATATTGTGGAACATCAATAAAAATCATTGAAATAATCAGAAAATGAGTAAGCATTTTCTGTTCATGAATAAATTTGCAAGTAGAATAAATAATGCTGAATACAATACATTTATGATTATTTATGTGAGAATCCAGAATTTGTTTTTATATAAAATAATATTTGTATTAATATTTTGAAAAAAACTTAAAGGATTGAATTCAATAGAGATGTTCATAAGATCTTATCTTTGACTTTGCTTTAAAATGATAAGTCTTTCTTTGGATTCAACTCATTCAAGGAAGTGCAGAAAATCTCAGATTGGACAACAAGCAAGTTTCTCAATCAATTTTATCAAATTTTGTCAGGAGTCAAGGGGTTGGAGACTTTTTATCTGTTGGAGACCAGCTGATAAAAAGAGATTGCTTGTGGAAAAAGTGGGTTGCTCTCCTCCAAAGTTTGTCTTTTGAGTTTGTGTGCATATGTGTTACCTCTCCGTTTGGATACATCTTAATCCTGCATTGATCATGTATAACATTCCCAGAACTGTCTTCAGTCTCACTGATTAGAACTGTGTTGTGAAAGACTATTTTTCCCAAAGAAAGGAAATTATAGCTGAGCAAAGACTCCAAGACACTCCAGGTATTTGGCAGTTCATGCAGAACTTTATTGTAAACTTTCTTTTGATAGATAGAAGAAATGTGCAATAAGTATTTACTGATAAATGTGTTAAGTATTAGCTATTATTCTCTTATTTTAAATAAATAATTGTTGTTTTAATAGTAATTTAATAGTAGACTGAATCACTTCTGGGTTGTTCGTCTCTCAACTTCCTCCACCGTTCTCTTGCCCCAAGTCCCCACACAAGACCACTCGCAAAGGAAGGGTTCCTGTGATCCCGGAGAATCACAGGTGGTGTCACTAAATCTCTTAAACAGCTAATCTCTTTATCACAATCTAGCTTTAAGATGGAATGTATAAAAGCTCTATGTATAAGGGACATGAAGACTGTAATTTCATATTTAGGTGGATCTATTTCATATTTAGATGGATTGAAAACAAAAATTGAAAACATTTTTGTAATATTTATTAGTTGTTATAAATGTATCAAATGATTAAATAACTGAAACTGGATTATTTGCAGGCTATTATTGGCCTAATTATTAACAAATGAATTACATAATTTGGCTTAAACATAGATAGGTCATTAACTTCTTATCACTTAGGTCACTATTTATAATTATAAATTTATTAATTTTGAATTTTCTAGAAAAAAAAACAATTGATCTGGAAAAAACCAGTAACTCCTGCTTGCTATGCAGTTATGTTATCAACTACACTACTTGTACTGCTTTTCAATAATGAACACAAAGATCAATTCAAAAAAACTGATATTGTTTTAAATAGTATAAAATTACTTTCAAATAATTTTTGCATTACTGATTTATATTATAAAACAGAATTTGATTCTCACCATGAATTGAAATCTTTAATGGATTACTGTTATTAAAAGACTTTTCAACATTTTCTCCTTCCTGATGTAATTTGAAAGCATTTAATTTATTAATTTCAGGAAAAATATAGAAATGGTAAGTGGATAAATAATATGGTGAAATAGTATCTGATAATTTTGGAAAAACAGGCAAATAAAATGGATTACTATGACAATTTTCAAAATTATTTTTTACTAAACCCCTGGTTGGAGATGAAATAGTAAAAATTCTTTGAGTAGGCAATATATATTCACAACTTTCATTTTTGGGAGGAATGATGCAAATTTCACGAAGGTTAGGAATATAGGACAAACTTTTACTACCTGGTTTGGAATTGGGACCAGAGGACAAGGAAGGAATAGAAGTTGCAGGTGTTGTAACACTATTTTGATGAGCAGATAGATTTGTTGTGGATGACACATTTGTATTAGTTGATGGAGGCTCCAGAATATCTCTGTATTTAGATACCATAAGAACAGATATAAAATAAACAACTGCTAGAGCTAAAAATTGGGCTTGTTTAGTTTCATCCTGCAAAATAAAATATTAAAGTATCATTATATTAAATAAAAATGAATTTTTTTTACATTTAAAAATTTTATCAATATTTTATTTATTTTATACTAAATAATGTGTTAAAAATACAAAGTAAATTTTATTTTTAAAATTACTTAACATTTACCTACAATGTATCTCATGTAAATATAATAAAATCATAATTATGAAACTACATCATTTAAGAACAAAAACTGTTTTTTAAATGTAAAGTTGCTTACATATAAAATTATTTTGGTTTATAAGTGTCTTAAACAAAGTTGGTTTAAAAGAATTTAGAATCTTGTAATTCAATTTGTAAACTCAATAGAAATTATGCTTGACACCAACCTAAATCATTACATTATTTTTAGGCTATATTAAAGCTAATTTAACTAAGAGCAGGATATCAACTACAACACTGTATAACTTAAAATATTCTTAATCATAAATGTATAATATAAAGGTATAAATCAAAAATTATATTATTGATTAATTCTTTTGAAGACAAAGTCCTTTCCAAAAAATAGGAACCACCATTTATTAACTTTGTGTTCCAGACATTACACTTTTGGCGACTGACCTTTCCTTTTAGGCTATATTATTGATATTTGTACCTTTTTAGTTTGTAATACAAAACCATTCTGAAAAATTCTGTCTCCTATGCAATAACTTTGCCAACATCTCTCTAAGATCTGAAACTAGTATGAAAATAATCCTCAATTCATTGACTATCATGGCACCTAGTGGAATTCACCTGCAATGTCACACATGCACAGAATAATAAGTAACATGGTAACATATATGAACGTGCAATTGAAACAATGTATTATTATTGAATTCCTCATGGCAGAGGATTGTATGTCCATCAACATTCTTCAACAAATGAGTGCTGTCTATGGTGATGTCTATGGTGATCCTGTATGGATTTGAGTATTTCAGGAGGTGGGTAAGGAGTCTGAAAGGCATGATGAGCCTGCATGATCAGGCCTCCAATAGATGATCCATAACAGCCATAGATGCACAGTGACAAGTGCACATGGATAAACTCATTCATGCTATTTGCTATGTCAAGCAGAAAGACATCATTGCAATGGTTGGGATTTTGCTTAAGTAAATCCATTAAGTTATCCATGATATATTTGGCTATAGGAAACTGTATGCATGATGAGTCCCACATATGCCAAAATAAAACAAAACCAAAAGCAGGTTTGTCAGAAACTTCTTATTTATTATGCACAGGCAGGCAATGCTTTGCTTTACTGGATTGTCACAGGTAATGAGTCCTGGACACAAGACCTGAAAAAGAAGTGACAGTCTATGGAGTACAGGCATAAGAACTAACTTCCCTTGAAAAGATTCCAAGTTTACCACTTCAGCAGGGAAAGTGTTGATGACTATGTTTTGGGACTGTGACAGCATAGTCCACACAGAACTTTTTTGAGCACAGCAACTCTGTCAACTCCAATCATTATATGAAAACATCAGAGAAACTCTGCATACAACTGCTGCAGATTCATCCTAGCATAGATAAAGTTTTTCACCGTGATGATGCTCAGTCACATATGAATTGACAAATGCATTGCAACATCTCAAATTTCATGAGATTTTACACCTAGCAACTTTCTCTCTTTCTGAATCTTAAAGAATACCTGAAAATGCACCATTACACCAGTGACACAAAGGTGCAAGCAGATGTGCATCACTGGTGTCAGGAGAAAAACACCCAATTTCTTTGCTAATGGGATGCAACAACTTGTCTAACACTGGTATATGTACATGTGTGTGTGTACAGGGATGGTGACTATGTGGAAAAATAATGACACTCCTGGTACATTCTAAGCTTTCAGAAGACACACAGTTCATATATCTTGCATATTACTGAAATTATCATATGGGAGACAGAACTTTTCAAAACCACCTCATAATAAGAACACTGACAAACAATCAAAATCAAAAAAATTTTAATTTTGAGTTTACTCACCACATCTCTATATATAACAGCTCTCAAACGATTAACATCCATATCTTGAAGTAATTTCTCTGGATCCCTAACAGGACTATTTTGTCCTGCTAAATTTTCCACAATATTCTAAAAGATTTAATAAAAACTTTTATTAAAAAAAATAAAGGCAGCAAACGTTAAAAAACAATATAGTACACATTCGCTTTATAACTCTCTCTTTTGTGATTATTATAAATTTAATAAGTAAATAAAATAATTATATGGCATAATATTTTTTGACATCTTTTGATATAATATAGTTAAAACTGTATTCCCATAACTTCAATTTATGGTACTGAATTTATGGGAAATAAATTGGCTCACTTTAAGAAAGCCAAAAAGGAAGCTGCTGTATTTATGAATTAAATTATAGTAAGTTTTAAATGTTTTTATATTTCAAATTATTAAATTACAGTAGAGCGTTGATTTTCCGAATCAATTGGGTTGGGGACTGGAGTTGTCCGGATAACTGATTTACGTACAAAAAATAGTTTAACGTATCCGATGTCAAAATTTTTCTCTGTTGCATGTTGCTTTGCGTTGAATTTTCATCGATGTTAAGCCTAACAAAGACTATTGTATCATTAAAAATTTTTTTATTTTGTACAAACAAAATAAATATATTGAAAAATATAAAAATAATAAAAAATTATACTTCAGATGTTAATTTAGTATCAAAAACATAAAATATTTGAGTAGCCCAAGACATAGCCAAAGATTGAAGCGCCACAGCACTGGCGAAAATTTAAATTTGCCGACTGAAATTCTTTCGGATGATTGACTTTCAGAAAATCGACGCTCTACTGTATTAGTAATATAACTATTGTTAATTCTGTAAAAATGTTTTTAGATCTACTGGTGAAAAATAGAAATAGGTGAATATCACTTTTCTCAAATTCAAATATTAATCTGATTCAAAATATTCTGTGCATTTTACATGAGTGATGTAATAGTCTATCAGTGGTCTCCCAAAACTAGTTTAGCTGGTCAATCGACCAACAAAATACTTCTTCCAACAAATTAGATATTTTTAATTTCAAGATAACTAGGCAACAATGAGTCCATATCTATATTATCAATAACATGCTTAATATCAAACCTTATTCAAAGAGCCTACAAGAACTTTACTTATAAAATGTTTCCGGAGATATTCCTCCTATCTTCAGCAGAATCATACAACACATTATAAAGCAATAACTATAAATACAAATTTTCAAAATTTCAGTTTTTTGAAATACTCTAATTAATAGCAATGGCCCAAACTACAAACTTTCAAAGCTCCGTTCTTCAAACACCTTTTAAAATTCAAAATAGCTCCTGCAATTTTCTTTAGTAATATAAAATTCAAACTCCAATTACAACCATTCAAAAAATACATCTAAAGATCAGTTATTTTAAAAGTTAACCATCAAATTATTTTCTTCAAATTCTTCATAAAAAAGAGATACTCCAATTTAATTTCAGTGTATCAACATCACCTTTATCACATTGTTTCTAATTTCCCTACAACCCTCATCAACATTGACGCATTCCCTTTCTCATTTTTATATTTACCATAACCATGCCTAAACTCTACCATCATTTCTTCCTCTTATTAATTACTATCTTCAAATCTGTGATAAGACATCACTATTATTCTTATTTACAACATTGTTCTCCATACTTAATAGATAAATACACATCTGCTCAACCACTCTCAAATTCATAAATATGTTTTCCTTGTATACTATTCTTTCCTCATCCCATACCAAACTAACCTCCTTGTTATATGCCTCTTGTGCTAGGTTTCTTCTTATTTTATCCTTACATACATCCTTCTTATGTTCAGTTAATTTCTCATTCAAATTCCTCAAAGTAGATTCTACATATATCACCTCTACTACATCTCTCTATTCTTATCACATACACTTGACTTGTGTATTTGGTAAACAGAACTTTTTCATTCCTCACCATGTTATAAACTATTATTTTTCTTAAATACAACCCTTCCATTATACTTCACTTAACTAATTAATGCCTTATAAACCATATCATCAACATTAACAACCATTCTTTCTAACTTCATATTTTTAGATCCCCTCTCACCTCATTCATCCATCACCCATCCCCTCATTCTCTTCAGCCAGTTCTTCTTTCTTCCTAACCATATCAACTATTTTTTTTGGAATTTCTGCTCTCTTGAACTGTTGTCATAACCTACTCAACTTCTCCTTTAAATCATCCTCATCATTACAATACTTATAGACTCATTCTAACTAAGCTTCTAACAGCTTCTACTTTATACTTAGCAGGTTCTCTTGACGTTCAATATATTAAGGGCTCCCATAACCACACCCTTTCTTAATACCCTAGTAGTCATACTATTCTCTAATCTTATATTCACTTCCAAATAATCTACAATTTTCTCATCTTCCTTTTCAAACTCATACCTTTACTGTTTCCACTGATCTCTACAAATTTTTTTGCCCTATCCTTCTTCCAGACCATTAAATAGTCATTTAGTGGAGTAATGGAGGTTCACAGACCACATTATTTTGAATTCCATGGTAAATCCATTAATTATTTGAAAATAATCATGTGCACAATAGTACACACTACTAAGTTTCAATATGTCATAAGGTAACTAAACAAAGTAAAATGCACATGTGAGAAGCCAGGAGGTAGAGCATCAAACCCCTTTGATTGGCGATGGATCAGTAAAACCCACTCACGTTGTCACTGGATGGCTTGTTTACAGTTGGTGGTGGGAAAATTGCAAATTTTTCCACTCTTGTCAGGACTGACACTAGTTAAGAAATAACATGTCTTAAATCTTGATTCTCATGCTCCTAGCAGCTATCAGAGGGCTTTTAAAATATCAAGTGGGGAAGGTTAGTGAGGTCGTCGATAAGGCGTCTCTGATCCATGAGTAAGAGGAGCCATTTTAAAATTCAACATGTTTAATAAAGCTAAAGGTTACGTTCAACCTCTGTAAATAGGTACTGGTATAATATACACTACACTCTCTTCAACTTTAAATAACCAGTAAAATATTTTAAAAATACTACAAACGTTTTCGACCATTATTTCCGGTCTTCTTCAGGCAGAAAGTTACTTTTTGCCTGAAGAAGACCGGAAATAACAGTCGAAAATGTTTGTAGTATTTTTTTAAATATTTTACTGGTTATTTAAGGTTGAAGAGAGTGTAGTGCTAAAGGTTACAAAGATAAATCTAGGCACAAGGAATACAGTTCCCTCAATCTAGTACAAATTACTAGAGAGCCTTTTTACTATTAAGTGAGCTTTATGCCTACTAAGACCTATTTCCGCCTGAGAGAGAGAGCATACATAAGATCAGTCATATATCATACCTCCTTAAGAATGATCTTTGTCGTAGATTATCCATGGAGGACTGGGGGAGGAACTTTGCATAAAGCACAAACAAATATAAAGGTAATCCTCTGGGACTATATTTATGGCAGATCGGAAGTTGGCAAGTAGAGCTTCTTCTATGATTTTCCTAGTATGTCCACCTGACTAAGGAGTGCCTGCTGTTACATCCATCCAGTGTGGGAATCTGGTCAGGTGATCGTTTGTTTGGCAGTGATGACACGTCAAGTGTCATCACTGGACAATGAAAACTAAACAAAGTCAATTCGAAGGTTTAGTATTTCCTTTGATTGTTTTTAGATTTCTTCCTTAGACTAAGTCAAGGATCAACTTTTTCACACTTTACAATTGATTGTTTTAACATATTTTCATTATTTTTGCAGGTCGATGTGAGGAGGAAAGGACTTGTTGACAATTAAGTTAATATGCGCTCATTTCCCATTTTCAACTCCATGGGAAATGGACAGGAAAAAAGGGTTTCTAAAACGTGTCTTTTCATTAAAAATTTATACAAAAAAAAGTCCCTGGATTCTCTCACACAGTACAACATGAAAAATATATATAATTGCCAATCATGGAAACTTTACTCATTTAAAAGCTACACAATAGCATTTTAAATAAAAAGTATGATTACAGTAATTAATTGTACATTAATTATGTTACATAACTATGAAAATTATACTCTAAAAAGTACAGTATATTAATCTAAAAAACATCACCACTGTACTAAATTTAACTAGTTATGTAGTATTGAAAACAATGCAACATCTCTTGTGCATGCATTCCTACAGTTACTGACTACAGTAAATCTGCCCTCGTTAAACCAGGAGTTGACTGTAACTGTTTATGTACCTAATATCATCTTGCACTTTTTCCTGAAATAAAACATACTTTGTGTTGCAAATTTTGTATGTATCAAAAAACAGTGTCCCAGTGGTGCACATTATGACAGTAATGGTCATAATGTATACGAATGAGCACAAGGTGCTTCATGATATACACACAAAATAGACAGCATCAAATACATTTTATACTAAACACCTGGTATGGCATTTGGAAAACAAATTTTTGGTCTCATATTTATCAACAGCACCCTAACTAATGACTACTATCTTAATATCTACACACAATGGTGAATGACTCAATGACTTGCCATTGAAGCAACTATAAAAGGTTTGATATCAACAAAATGGCTTGCCAGCTCATTCTGAGACAGGCATGCACCAATGGCTCACAGTGTGATTCAACAACTAATGGATAAGAACACAGTTCTGTTCTGTGGCTCCACAATCCCAGGACTTGACTCTGCTAGATTCATTCCCATGGAGTTACCTAAAAGTATCAGTTTATGATCAGCAGTAAATAATGATTTTGGTAAGCTGCAAAGGCAAATATGAAAGGCTTGTAGGACAGTGATGTGCTAAGCATCACCCATAACATCCATACACGTTGCTCATAATTTTATGTATTATTATTGTATATGTATATAAAACTAGTTTGAACCTATTAGTGTAAATGTAAACTAAAAAAGTGAATGAATTGTATTGACACTAATAAGCTTTTGATATTAAAAAAAATTATATAATTGTATATAGTTATGAAAATTACACAATTATGAATAATAAAAATCAGTCACCAATTTAAAAATCAGTATATTGGCTTGTATAATAAGGTAACAAGAAAACAAATAACTGTTAATTGTCAAAAGATGTAAAAGTCAAAAAGATAAAGATTAGTTATGATAATTTTTATATATAATTATATAACATTATCACACAATTAACCATTATTTGTCTTAAGCAGATAACGATTAAAACTTAAATATGATAATTACAATCTTTAAAAAAGTCAATAAAAAAAAATTACTTAATAATCAGATAATATCTATAACCAAATTATCTTAAGTACCAGACAATAAAAAGTCAAGTATGTGTTATAAAAATTTCCTAACCATTCTGTATTACGTATAAAATTTTTAACTTCTACAAATATCAAATTATTGACTTGCTAAAGAAAAAATGTTCATATTATTCTGAGTTAGTCATACCTTAGCAGATGGTTGTACACCTCCAATTAAAGCTTGAATAGGTGTTTGTCTAGAGATTTCTTTATTAGTTGAAGGTCCAGAATGAGAAATAACAGGTGTTTGTGGACGGCTACGCTCTCTACATTCCAGACAATTTCTTACTGCTGCTGTACACACTGTGAATATTGCACATAAATATAAATTATTAAAAAATATATTAATATAATTAAATTTAGAAAATATTTGAATCTGAAAATATATTTTTTAAATGATATTTTTTTAAAAATCTTTTCAATGAGCTCCTGTTTTCTATCATTTTTTTTCTGATCTGTACTATAATTGTGTTACCTATATTCTAGGGATGATCAACTATAATCACATTTTGAAAATCTACTTAGATTAAGCATATAGCAATAGTAGTCAAAGTTACTTTATCTTGGTTCTTCTCTAAGTCTTTTACCTAGAGACCACTGAAATAAAATCATGCAAAAAGCTTTAAATAAAGATAATGTTTTATTATAATAATCTTCATTTAAAGTCTCTAATTACTTTCAAGTTCTCATTTCTATTTTCATTACTTGTCCAAACCAATATATTCACAAAGAAGTATTTAAGCATTTTAATCATTTAATGCATTTAAATTTAATAATTTTTAATGTATTTTTGTGCTGCAATAAAATTCAAAAAGAAAAAGTCAAACATCAACAATTGAATAACTGTATGATTAGTTCATAATATATATTAAAAACTGAACTGGTTTCCTGCATTCTATCTGCATATTATATTTAACTTAAAATCAAGAGAAAATCTAATGTAATTACCATGTTCAAAATTTGTGTTTTACTTCATATTGATGCTAATTTTAATATTTATACACAACATAATTTGAATGCTTAGTTTTAAATAACTGATAAAAGATATCAGTATTATAAGCAACATGTAGAAATTAACATAATGTCATATAATTCAAAGCAAACATAGTTACAAAGGTTACTACACTTTGTTTATAGCAAGCTTTTTAAGGACCAGTTGAAAATGGACATTAATGTCATATCAAATTTTCCAAATATACTTCTAGTTATAGTGAGAAGATACCAATTATATACAGTTTTGTGTGTACATATGAAAATTATACCAAAACATAAAAAAACTATCCTTTAAAATTATATTTTTTAAAGTAAATTTTAAAAATTAATTTAAAAATAAAGAAAAATACCACAATATAAATTGTTTTAATAATTAAATAACAATCAAATTAAAAAAATGAAAAAAAAAATCAAATGACAGTTACTAAATTCTAAAAATGTATATACACTTTATTATTATTATTGAAATTGTCATGTTATCTTGGATGAAATTGTAACAGATATTCACATTTATATATGGTACTTTCTTTCATTTAATTCGTTATCAAAATTATTTATTTATACAGTATTTTTATCTTAAAGTATAATAAATATAATTTTAATTTTAAAATATTTTTTAAATGTTAAGTTATATTTTCACTTAAAACAGCTGTTCATTTTTCACTTCCATGTTTGTTGATTCAATGTTCAAAAGTTGTTATGATGAGATTTTGACCATTTACAGGGTTGTTAATATTGATAATAAAATAGAATTAGGTTTATGAGAGATCAATTAAGATCTTCTCTATTGATTGTAATATTGTGATAAGTTGCTAAACTAAGAGTCACTGTAAAATAAGTCTACTGTATTAATACAGCGGGGTGCAAAAGTAGGTATACAGTTGTTGTTATGGAAAAAAACATACAAGGAGAAAATAGGAAGAAAAAACATTTATTTTTATATACAAATTAAATCAGAAATAAGGAATACAAACTAACAAAAGATGATAAAAATAATAATAATGAACACTAAACATTTGTATTTCTCAGATTCTCAACTGTATACCTACTTTTGCACCCACCCTGTATATAACAGTCATATATAAAAACAAAATATTAGATTTTGAAGATAACTATTATATATTTTCAGCAATTTAAACCTAACATTCATATAAAGTTTTTATATGAATTAAATAATTGAGAAAAGTTTATTATTAAAACTTACCAAGTCTTAAGCATTGACGAAGAATACCACCATTGGACATATTTTTTTCTGCTTCAAGCTCATTGAAACTTAATGATGAAGCAAATACCAATACGTCTGTCATATTGACAAGACGCTGTAAAAAAGCAACAGCTACTTCTATAGACATACCCTGTGTTGGTTCTATAACATCTAGTTCATGCTTTAAAAAAAAAGAATTTTTTTAAACATTTATATTGTCTTTTAGTTCAATAAATCTTAAATATTGAAATAAATATCAACAAAACTTAATAACCTTTTAAAATAAAAACTAAAATTATTGCAATACACAAAAATTTTCAAAATGCTTTAGAATTTTCTTTAAGCAATAAAATATGATAAATTATGGTTCAATTGTTCATTAATTATCATTAATGAACAATTGAACCATAATTTATCATAAAAAATGAAAAAAAAGCATAAATAATGAATTTGTATACACATAAAATTTCTGGTACTGAATAGTTTATCTATAGAGTCTTCATATAAGTTACCTGTATTAAACAACCACCTGTGTAACACGACTGTGGGCATCGATTTTTGGTCCGAAACAACATACAACTGTAGTAAGCAACCACTTCCGCAAATATATCTGGTCTAAACTATTGTTCAACAATGTTTTCCCTCTCCTAATATAATGAATTAATCTAAACTCTCGTTCGAACCCACGTCAGGCACTTCTCCAACCCTTGAAATTAGGTGCAGGTTTTAATGAATTAGTCTAGCAACAAAGGAAATTCATTTCATAATGTAGAAGATATGGTTGCTGTATGTTCAAATTCTGTATGTAGCGTCCTTGTAATCCAAAAAATAATTCTTGGTAGACGACCAAAGAGCAATTGGTTAGGAAAACATTATGGTTTATTTAAAACAATTTTTTGTTTTAAATTAAAAAATTGTTTTTAATTTAAAACAATCATTTTTTGGATTACAAGGACACTACATACAGAATTTGAACATACAGCAACCATATCTTCTACATTATGAAATGAATTTCCTTTGTTGCTAGACTAATTCATTAAAACCTGCACCTAATTTCAAGGGTTGGAGAAGTGCCTGACGTGGGTTCGAATGAGAGTTTAGATTAATTCATTATATTAGGAGAGGGAAAACATTGTTGAACAATAGTTTAGACCAGATATATTTGCGGAAGTGGTTGCTTACTACAGTTGTATGTTGTTTCGGACCAAAAATCGATGCCCACAGTCGTGTTACACAGGTGGTTGTTTAATACAGGTAACTTATATGAAGACTCTATAGATAAACTATTCAGTACCAGAAATTTTATGTGTATACAAATTCATTATTTATGCTTTTTTTTCATTTTTTATGATAAATTATGGTTCAATTGTTCATTATTGATAATTAATGAACAATTGAACCATAATTTATCATATTTTATTGCTTAAAGAAAATTCTAAAGCATTTTGAAAATTTTTGTGTATTGCAATAATTTTNCGATAAATAGTTTCTGTATCAACCTACCTTATTTCCACGATATTTTCAGAAAAATAATATCCAAGTAATTTTCGCAGGCAAAATATTCAAAAAACAATAAACGTATTAATGCAAAAATCAGTTTTACAGGCAACCTTCTTTTTTAAATTCCACGATTGTCATTGGACAATCACAGAACGTAATGAAATCATATTATGAGAAAAAATAATAAAATCATTTTATTAATAATTTTTCTTATTGTATTTAAGAAAATATTAAATATTAAAAAATACAGTATTTTTAAAGTTAAAATAAGATTAAACTAACAAATACTGAAACCAAAGTGATGTAGAGATACAACGTGCTTGTATATCGATGACGTAATACTCATAAATGAGGAGCAAACGAAAAAAACCAAGTTAAATTAAGTTGGAAAAAAGTGTGCATTATAATCGAGAAAATATGACTATTGTATTAATCTTTAAACAATTTGGTATTAAATCTGTCTTATAAAATCACGACGACTCCTGTAAATGGAGTTATCTGTTAAGAATAAAATACAATACCAATATAGCCCTATCATTGAAAAAATTCACTTATTTTTGCTCACCTCAAGTTTTGCTTAGTAGAAATGGCTAAAAAGTGCACAAAATACGTATGGAAATACACTATAACAGCACCACCTGTATTGGACAACCACCTGTCTAAAAGACCACTTTTTGAAGAAACCGTGGGTGGTTTCCATAGACAGGTTTTACTGTACAACTTTTTATAAACATTTACTTTGCATTCATTTTTATTTTTTCCTAAAAGAGTACAGCACCATATAGGCAAATTTATTAATAAGGTAACCAATTATGTGGACAAATTATAATATTTACTATTGATTATAATATTTAATTAACATGATTTTGATATACTCGGTAACATCACAAAATTATTAATTATATTAATCAAAAGACACCTGTATATAAAAAGAAATCAATAATAAAATTAAAAAATTAATTTTTCTTTTGTTTTCATTTTACATAATGCTGAAAATAATTCTAATATAGGTGAAATTTGTCTATAAGTATATTCAAATATCAAATGTAAGAGCATATCTTTTGCTATATAACATAAAATTATTTTTTAAAAAATCTATTGTTTCAATTTGCAATCTTTATATTTGTTACTGATTTCTAATTATAACAGAGTAAATTTCAATAAATTTTAGAATAATTTCCAATAATTAATTATTGAATTGCCTTTTTATAGTATATTCAAGTTGGTTTTCATTCAAATCAGTCAATTTTAAAAACAAACATTACTATTCAGGTAAATTATGCTTGAAACAAACTAAACATACAGTATTATCTTGTAGGTGCAAGCATATAAAAATCTATATTTCACTTAAAAAAATGCTTGAATATATAACACTAGCCCCCTATCAAATTTGTGGTTGATATCAAAACCAAAATATTCAATTTAAATTTATTGTATTAGTATTATTAGTATTTCTTTTTATTTATGACTAAATTTTAATTTTATATTTTTCAGTAATTTTGTTTGTTTTGTAAATTTTACTTTATTTCTTCTTCATAAAAATATAAAGTTGTCACTGGATCTATGCTTTACTAAATAATACAATAATTATAAAATTTAATTCATTTTCAACTTACATTTGGTGATGTAGCTGATGCCAACAAAGGTAATAATCCTCCACAAGCAATAATTATATTATCTGCTAGTTGAGATATTAAATGAACAGTATTAATGACAAAAATAGCATTTTCACTGCTATTAACAAAATCTATAACAGTTTTAGTTGTGTGACTGCAAAAAAGAAACAAAATATGTCAAAATACAAATACAAAAATAAGTATATAAACAATAAATATGAACTACCTTCTCCATACTTGAATATCAGTTTCTAATGAAAAAAGTAAGTCTGATAATAAACGTTGATGAATGATGGACCAACGAAATTCCGGTATACGAAATGGTGGCCTAGTAGGACCACTATTAAACATCTGACGACTGTTATTTCCAGTATTACTCGACCGTTGTCCGATAGAAAAAGTAGCAGATTTTGGTCTTTGAAGCTGTGTTGATGCATTCTTACGTGAACCAGTTGCACTGCGTGATCGTCGACAAGGTGCTATATCTGCTATATCTGTAGATGCATTATTATTCATTTTAATTTTATTTGTATTATTCAATTTTTCTTCCTTTTTTCTTATTTCATCATTTGATAAATCAATGTTATTTTTTTCTTCTTCATATTCTGTAGCTTTATGTAGATATGATCCATCATTTTGACCATCAATATTATTTTCAACAACATCTCCAAGTAATTTACGTTCTTTTTGAAAATGGCCTTCAATCGTACTTATTTCTGTATTTTTTTCTTCAGTTTCATATTCATCAAAATCTTTATCATCTATTTTTTCACTTTTATCACATTCTGGAGAATCTTGTTTAGTAGCATCTGAACCAGTATTAGAAGGTGTTTCTTCACTTATTTCTGATTTTATAGGTGACTCGCTTAATGATGATTCTTCTTCAGTGTTTTCTTTGCCTAATTCATTAATCTTATTATTCTCTGATGAAATAATCTTTTCTTCAAATGTTTTTTCTGATTCTAATTTATTGCACAATTCTTGTTCTACAGATTGATAAGTAGCTACAATTATTTCAGATTTTGGTAACTCTTCTAAACTTACTTCTTCATCTAAATTAATTTTGTTATTTTGACAATCCTCAAAATCTGATTCTCCTTTATCATTATTTTCTTTTGCATAATATGATGTTACTTCTAATGTATTACCATCATTTTTTTCTATTATCTGCTTAATATGTTCTATTGTTTCAATACATTGTTCATTCACTACTTTTTCGGTTATCATTGTATCTTCTACTGCTTTTTCATCAATTTCTATATTTTCTTTAGATGTTACACTTATTAAATTATCATCATCATTGTCATCATTTAGTTTATCTACAGTATTTTTGTTTGAACAAAACATATTAATTTCAGAAGTATTTTGCATTATCTCATCTTCATTATTAGAATATAAAGCATTTTTAGAGTTTTCTTCTTTTTCATCACAACTAATGTGTTTAATATTTACATCTTCCTCAGAAATAATATCCTTATTTTCAGAAAACTTTGTAGGATTTTCTTTGTCATTATCCTCTAAAACTGAAAGTTCATCTTTTGTTTGTTTTTGTTCCTTCTCTAATACAGAATCCTGAATGGGAAAAGTACTAGATGATTCATTTGAATTAATATCTAAATTTGATTTTTCTGTTTCATTATCACTAACTGGTAGCTTATCTAAAACATTCTCTGTTTTATTGTTAACCAATATCATTTCTTGTGATTTATTACAAATGTTATCATTGGATGCATCATCCGTAGAAATAGGAACTTCATTCTTAGAGTTACTTGTCGTAATGCTATCATCTGACTTAATTATTTTGTCATGAAGTGAAGATTTACTATGAATTAAATTAGCATCAACAGTTTTATTGTCAGTACATTTATTTGAACTTCCTTCATTTGCATTGATTTCTTTTATATGATTAGAATTCACGTTATTTTTTTCATTTCCTGTAATAGTTATGCTATTATCAGACACTGAATGATCATCATTAGTAATAATCCTTTCTGGTTTACTTAAAATTATATTATTATTTTTCTTCAGGTCCACATTTCTATTTGTTGAATGAATTACAGAACCTTCATTTATATCATACTCACTCTCAATCATAGGATTTTCATTTTTGGAGAGATTAGTTGCATTTAACGAATGATTATCATTATCTAATCCAGAAATAGTACTAATAGGTTTTTGTTTACGAATAGCAGGATCTGTAATATGATCAGAACGTCTTTGCTCATATTGTTCATATATCTGTGAAAACTGAAGCTTAAACTCTTCAAATGAAACCTAAAAATAAATAAATTTATTTTAATACATTAACAAAATTTCATTGTTATTTAATAAATTTTGTAAAAAGTACAGTAAATACTATTTCAATTTTATGTTTACAAAATAATTATTAACTCACTTTGAGTTAAGATTATTTTAATTAAAACCAAATTTTAAAATCTGCATATTTTCAATACGTAAATTTAATTTTGCAAAAGGAAAAAAAAAGTAACAACTCTTTATTAATAATAACTTGTATTTATTTTTTTTTTGGTCGCAAAAAGTGATGGTCTAAAACAGTGTTTTTCAACCTTCTTGAATACGCAACCCCTTTATAAGTTAAAAAATTCCGGTGACCCCCCAGGGCCATATTAAAACTATATCAGTGATTTTAAAAAGTACATATTTAATTTTCTTTCTTTAAATATGGATCGAAAAACCAATTGTACTGTAAAATAAGCAGGCACAGCCTTCTCACTGAAATTCTAGATTTTTTTATTGTAGTGTAGGACCTACAAACACTTGTCTTTTTCTTTCACCCGCGACCCCCCCGTGTAAGGCTTTGGGACCCCCTTGGGGGTCGCGACCACAGGTTGAAAAACACTGTTTTAGACATTACGAAATTTTTAACGTCACACTTAATAGTTTTCTTTGTTCATTTTCCTCCGACATTAATATTCCTCCGTGCTTTTTAAAATGTTTTCATTAATCAAAGAATGTCGCGATGTCTTCAAGTATATCAATTTCAATTTAAATTCAAAATTTCACATTACTTCGTTGGAATATATTTTCGTGAAAATGATTTATATTAATGGGACATTTTAATTGCAACGGTCGGATCTGGGCATTTCTATTTCTATTCATCTGAAATTTTATTTTTCGTGTTATTTGCAGACAAAACAATAAGGCAATTCTTCCGAAAGGTAACTTACGTGTTTCCGATTATTTTCAATTTGATTTTTACGCGAAAAAATGTAAAATAATATAAAATATGCAAATTATTTATAATGTTTAACTTTATAAATGTTTCGTTTCAGGTTTTTGGAGACAGAAGATGTTATTTTTACTTCTGCGGATAACGGAATCGAAATGTACCTCATCGGCAAACGTTACTTTATTAGAAAACTGCAAAGAATGTGTTTCCATTATCTTACACAGCCGAATATCTGCAAAAACATTTGTCGCATCCACGATTTTGCTTGCAGACACAACGAAAAACAATTGCAGTTTCATTGTTGGGAAAGTTTTCATTGGCTCGAAAAGAACTATTTCCACACAGACGATTTCAAACAA